CGTAACGGGCCATCGGATCCTCCGAGCTAGACCAGGTCGACTGTGCTCGACCGACCATTAACCTGGGCCGAACTCGTTCGTCTCAGCGCACCGTCGAGAGGTCGGCCTCGGGTGAAAGGGGGCTGATCGTGCGGTTCGCCTTATCCGGGCAGATACACTAAATCTAATTCATGCTCTCGACAGATGGACTTGATTCTCATTCGACATGAGCTCAAGAAAGCGATCCAGAAATTGGCAGAGAAGGTTGCCGAGACACCAGCAGAAAGCTGGATGATGGGGACCATCGACACGAGCCTGGAGCTCCTGGAAGGCTACTGGCGCAACTTCCATCAGAACCACGGCCACCTACTGACATGGGTGAAGACGAGACTCGCGACTATCTGTCAAGCAAGACGTATCCGACTGCCGAAGAGCTCTATGCGGAGAGTCACAGTACACTGCTTGACCACAAAGCCCGATACGCTGCGGCGTCCGAGCATACCTCGACTCCAGCCGGATCGACGGCGGCAGCGGTCGTATTCGACGCGAAGTATAGTCGACCCGACGAATTTTAGCCGCCGATCGCAAATGCGAGACAATTTTCACTCGAGGCGTCCGACGAACCCCCGACGGCCGATACATCGTACGCCTGCCTTTCAAGCCGGAGAAGAGGATTCTCCTTGGAGCCAGCCTTCCCCAAGCGCGGTCAGCACTCACCTCGATACAACGACGAATGCGCTCGGATCCAGCGCTGCGCTAGAGCTACTGCCGCTTCATGGAGGAATATGAACAACTCGGACACATGCGACGGTTAACCGCCAAGGAAACCCGCGCGAACTCGAGAACGACGTTCTACATCCCTCATCACGGCATCTGGCAACGCAGCGACGGGGGCAACAAGCTGCGAGTCGTGTTCAATGCCTCCTGCGCGACATTCACGGGCCTCAACCTCAACGATACGCTCTATCCAGGATCGAAGCTGCAGGGCCACATCGCTACCATCATCACCCACTGGCGAAGATACCGCTTCGTCTTCTGCGCAGATATCAAGCACATGTTCCGCCAGATCTAGATTGACGACAGAGACTTCCACCTACAGCGCATAGTCTGGAGTCCATCGTCCGATTTGCCCATCCAGTACTTTATTCTCAGTACCATCACCTACGGTACGGCCTGTGCGCCCTCCCTAGCTTTGCCCACTATGCAACAGCTAGGCGAAGACGAAAGAGACCGGTTCCCGCTCGTACGCGATCTGCTACAGGAGGATCTCTATATGGACAATTTCCTCAGCGGCGGTCCCAACCTGGAGACCTCGAGGCACCTACGAAATCAACTCATCGGTCTGCTCACGGCGGGCGGCTTCCACCTCCGCAAGTGGGTGGCCAACGAGCCCGGCCTGCTAGAAAACATCCCCGCAGAGAACCGCTTAAGGCCGGATTGGGTCCAACTCACCACGGACGGGCTAGTGTACGAGCTCGGCATCGCCTAGGATCCGGTGGCAGACCGTTTCAAGTTTCGCCCCGGATCGGCCGAGCCGCCCTCTCGACTGACCAAAAGGACTGCACTGGCGGAGCTCGCCGGCATTTTCGACCCGACTGACTGGCTGACGCCACTCACGTTAGTCACCAAAATGGTGATCCAGGATCTTTGGCGAGAGAGATATGAGTGGGACGATGAGCTGCCCACCAGCTGACTCGATCGTTAGCTGGCCTTCCGCGCCAGCATTCGAAAGGCCGCTGATCTCTCGATCAGTCGCTGGCTGGGCAGCTTCCCGGGCCAGGATATGCAGCTGCACGCATTCGTCGACGCTAGTCGTCGTGCGCTCGCGACCGTACTCTACGTGCGAACCATCGACGGCGACGGGAGAATCATCACCAGCCTCGTCAGCGCAAAGTCAAAGTTGGTACCGGTCAAAAGCCATCTACCCACCACCGAAAGCCAAGCTTGCGTGACTATCCCGAGACTCGAGCTTAGAGCCACGCTGATCGCCGCTTAGCTGATGAAGGAGGCCGCCAGAGCGCTCTCAATCCTACCGACGAGCTGCCACCTCTGTGAGCGATTCGAAGGTCACCCTCCACTGGCTCCGTTCTGACGAACCCGTGGATCACGACGTCAGCGACAATTACGTAGCCCACGTTCAGGAGCTCACTGTTGGCGTTACACTGCGTCATGTCCCCACCAGTTGTAACCTGGCTATTGTCGCATCTCGAGGCATCGACACCGCCAAGCTTGCCCTGCGCCTACTCTGGTGGCACGGGCCCGCCTGGCTTGCAAAGCCGGCGAGCGAGTGGCCTCTCGAGAGCCAGGACGCTAACCAACCAGCGAGTCAACCGAGCGGCTCAGTCACGTGCTCTACCACCCGGATCGAGAAGGAGCCCTCACCACTGAAGCCCAATCACATCCACAAGTTCTCCACCCTGGACGGTCTGCTAAGGGCCACTGCCCGAGCTATCCGCCTATTGCGACGACGAGAGGCCGGTAACTGCAATCGAACTCCATCAAGCCTTCATCGCCTGCTCCCGACTCACACAGCGTCACGTCTTCCACAAGGAGTTCACCCAGCTGAGTCGGGGTGACCGACTGATAGGCTGTAGCCAGACGAAATCGCTCGAACCGTTCTTCGACGACGACGGGATTATCCGAGTCGGCGGCCGACTCAATCATTCGCAATTGCCGTACGACGAGCGTCACTCCATCCTGCTTCCTGGGACTTCACATCTCGCCCAGCTAGTCATTCATTGGGCCCGCGAGCGAAGCCTCTACGGCGGGTTCAGGTCGACCTACGTCCGAGCCTTGCAACGAGCGTGGATCACTGGGGCGAAGGTCAGAATCAAAAGGTTGCTACGTCGCTGCACCGTCTGCGCCCGTCTCGCGGCGCGCCCCTCAGCTCCACGCATGGCCCCGCTGCCGCAGACTCGAGTGATACCTGCTCGGCCATTCTGTACGTACGGGGTCGACTACGCTGGACCCTTCCATCTATGCCGTGGCAAAGGGAGAGGCTCGCCCACTGTTAAGGGCTACGTCTCACTCTTCGTCTGTACCTGTACCAAGGCGGTCCACCTCGAAATCGTCGGCGACCTTACCACCGAAAGCTTCCTCGGAGCCCTTCTGCGTTTCGTCGGTCGGCGGGGCAGGCCTACCGAGATCTGGAGCGACAATGGAACCAATTTCCGAGGCACCTTCCTAGAGCTCCGTCGCCTGCTCCGGGGAGCTGAAATCGACTGGAATCTTATCGAGAATTCTCTGGCGAAGGAAGGCATCGCCTGGAAATTCATTCCACCAGCCGCACCGCACTTCGGTGGTCTTTGGGATGCGGGCGTCAAATCAATGAAGCGGCACCTCCAGCGAGTTGCCTCGCCCCGTCGACTCACCTACGAGGAATTTTCAACTTTCTTGGTATCCGTGGAGGCCAAGCTCAACAGCCGGTCCCTCGTTACGCCAGCTGGAGACCTGGGCGACCTCGAAGCGCTCACCCCCAGCTACTTCCTCATCGGGACCTCAGCGACCTCCGACGCTCAGCCGCTCCGAACTAACGCAGATCTCGAACGAGCCAGTTACTGGAAGCTCATCCGAACCATGTGGGGCCACTTCTGGGCTCGCTGGAGCCGAGAGTATCTCAACACTCTCATTCAGCAGCCCAACTGGCGGTAGCCACAGTCCAATCTTCAAGTCGGTGACTTCGTGGTCATCGCCTATCACTCCCTGCTACGCCCAGATGGCCGCTGGCCCCTCGGCAGAATTACTGCCACGTACCCCGACCCAAAAGGTATCGTCCGCACCGCCATCGTCAAGACCGCTACTAGAAAGTATGCTCGTCCCGCCGTCAAGCTCGCCCGACTCCTCATCCCTGACGACGTCAGCCAATCCAGCACGGAAGGAGGACCGATATAAGGTCGTTCACGGAACGAGGCGGGCGGGGTGTTTGATGCAAGTGACCAGCGAGGGCGCTTTCTCGAGAAGGGAAAGGGACGAGAAGGGATGGGGGAGGTCGGAGCTCGAAACCCCACTGCACCGCGCCCGCCGCCTTTTAGTCGCGTCCATCTTGCGTCTTTTGTGCCTCTACCTGAGCGCTTGTGCAAATGTCGGTCAGACCCGAGTGGCAAACCCCCCTGTAAGACTTCGTTCAAGAAAAAGAAATAAAGTGCCATTGCGATCAACCCGTCTTCTTATTTCATTACCAGCAAACAAGATATTTTATTCTGTTTTATTCCACTTCTTTCACAATAAAGTTTCTGAAGAGATTAACGAATTTGTTAACGAAACGTCAAAGTTATATTCTTTATTGTCTATACCAATCGAGCACAGTTTTAGCTTAAAATAAAGTATGGTAGGCGAGAATAATGATTTTCCCAGAGTACATCGGTTAAAAACATTTGTTTATCCTACAGCCAATTAAGTGTACCTTATGATTCATATTCAAAAGTGATTTTCTTTAAATATATTCAATTCAAAAATATTTTAACGTAAAATTTACTGCTTTTTTGAATCTGCAACTAAACTGACTAACCGGTATTAAATTGTGAAAATTATCAATCTTCATTACTGTGACTTAAAATGATTCTAATAACGTTATCATTATGATTATGTTGGCATCATGAAGTACTAAAAAATTATTACTCTTTTCTTCTTTTCACAAGTCCTAAATTTTTAATTATGGCTTCCAGAAAGCTCACTTAATCTTAACATTATTTTTTGAAAAAACTTGATTTGCCACGCTTTTCTGAACGTAAGAAGAGAGAACGATAAACGTTTTAGAACAAGTAATTTTTTTTTATTAGATCAGTACTGTAGATTAAATTTTTTTTTTCAAAATTCTTTTTTATATATATCTTAAGCACAAATTTTTCTTCATTCTAAGTTGATTTTCATATAATCTGGATATAGCTTTTAAGATGAAAGTCAAGCACGCAGTATTCTTAAAAAGTTGTTCAAATTTAACATTTAAATAATACACGTATATATAAAAGTATAAATGAATTATTGGAATTATTGAATTCTCACAGTTTTCATTTTTTTAACAGATACAAAATAGATGTGCCGAAGGAAAGAGTCGACGAGATATATGTAGTCAACAGCTTACAATTTTAATGGATCAACAAAGAAAATATATTGCAGCTGTTAGAGAACTCACAACTGCATGTCGTGAAAATGAAACTCTCTTAGCTCAACTTCGCAGATTATAACAAATTTGAAATTATTTTCTGTTTATATAAGTAATTTCATGATTATTCAGGTTTGTTGATGCAATTTTTGATTCTCAACTTTGATTAATAATGTTTTTAACTACTAATTGTATATTGCATAATAAATAACTATATACAAAATGAATTCAGAATCATTCTTATGCTCCTCGTATAGTAATCTTTTTTTATTACTTTATTCCATCAGATTTTAAATTGAGCTAAATCATTAAGTAATATTTTCTTTTTATTGAAATGATATTCATTATAAGTACATTTTTAAATTTGTAATAATTTTTGAATATAATTTTGTATTATTTATATTCTCCAGACAATACTAATGAATTATATTAAAATATCGTGAAGAATTCGAAATGAATTTTCATATAACAAATATCAAAGGTAGTCTAAATTAAAGCTGTAACTCACGGCGAGACTGAGTAACATTAAATAATTATAAAAACAGATTTTATTGTTAATTTATTTAAAAATTTTAACCATTATTAGTTAATGGATAATATATATTAATAATTTATTTTATTTTTTATATCAAAAGTACTAATAAGGCGTAAAGACGTTCTTCCTAACATTTTTTTCAAGATAACATTTCTTTGAAAAAGTAAATCATTCTAGATTAAGTTATACTATAAGATTTAATTCTCCCAGAAAAACTTAACCAGTAGTTCAACATTAAAATGTCAAACTAATAACACAGGTCAACAAAGAAAATGAAGAATCCGACCTCAGAATTGAGCTATCACCTAAGTCTTGGGAGATATCTTAACTTAAAAGTGCAAAAGGCACGGGTTTGGGCCATATTTGAAGGTCTATAATTTCGCGGAAAATTATCCGATAACAAATCTTAAAAAACCACCTGAAAGAACTACTATCTAGAATTAAAAATACATGATTATTTTTATGATTCGGACCTATTTAAGGAGAGATACCGTTCATTGAAGTTTCGAAAGTTTTAGATATAATGGTGACCGTTACAATTAGAAAAAGTATATTACGAGTATTTTTTTATTGCACATTACATATTTGTCGTTCAAATCCCAGAAAGATAAACCCAAGAACGCAATAACCTACGAGCCTACAATTCTAGGAATTTAACCCAAGAACGTACTAATCTGCAAGCTATATTGAGTTGTTGGTTTTATCTTCCTGTACTTTAAGGCTTACCGGTTATTGGATTCATGGTTTTACCTTCCTGGGGCTTAAGGTTAGTGTTGACAATAAACAATGAAGTGTTACAATTCAACATGTTCTTATGAATACTGGAAAGTACTGTCGATCGAACGTATTGCTACAAATGTTCAAGAATTACGACTAAAAAATTTCCCCCCTCCCGACCGCTGCTACTACCGACGCCGCGGCAATAGAGCGACGAACGACGCGAGGGACGAAAACTGTCGTTTGCCTTCGAGTGGACTTTAATACGCGCCGCGAGCTGAAATGAAATAGTCAATAGATTACAATCCGTGCGAATATAGCGGCCAAGCCGTGTCATGCAAAGGTTAAAGTGACGCGCAGCTGATGAAACAACGCCGACTGTGACAATGAATTAACACTGATATTTGCGAAATTTAATACAATAATATACGAGTGTGGTCCGATAAGTACTTAGCCTAAAAAAGAATCACGAAAATTTTAGAAAAATAGCATTTTATTTTTCAACAAAGTCTTCTTTTAGTTCGATATACCTGGCCCAGCGAATCTCGAACTTCTTTAACCCATTTGAAAAATATGTTTCCTCGAGGTCTGCAAAGTAGGCTTCCGTGGCAGCGATTACCTCCTCATTCGACTCAAATTTCTGCTCGGCGAGTGACTTTTTCAAGTTTGGAAACAAAAAGAAGTCGCACGGGGCTAAATCTGGAGAATACGGTGGATGGGTTCATAGCAGTTCATAGCCTAATTCGACCAATTTGGCCATGGCGACGGCGGAGGTGTGAGCCGGTGCGTTGTCATGGTGGAAGAGCACTTTTTTCTTCGCCAAATGGGGCCGTTTTTTCTGCAATTCGACGTCGAATCGGCCCAATAATTCGGCATAGTACAGCCCTGTGACCGTTTTGCCCCTATCCAGGTAGTCGATGTAGATCACACCTTGTCAATCCCAGAAAACGGTGGCCATCACCTTTCCGGCCGATGGGACAGTTTTCGCCTTATTTGGAACACTTTCGCCGGGCAAAGTCCACTGTTTCGATTGTTCCTTGGTTTCTGGTGTATACCAGTGGATCCATGTTTCGTCGACGGTCACAAAACGACATAGAAACTCCTTCGGATTGCGCTTAAACAGCGTCGGACACTGCTTTGGAGTTGTCTCACGGTTACGCTTGTTGTCCGGAGTGAGCAAACGCGGCACCCATTGCGCCGATAGCTTTCTCATGCCTAAAATTTCATGCAGAACATGACCCACGCGGTCTTTTGAAATGCCTACGATCTCAGCTATCTCGCGCACCTTCAATCGTCGATCTGCCAATACGAGATCGTGAATTTGAAGGGAGTTTTATCAACGGTCATGCAGATATTACGTTACTTACAATCGAGTGAGGATATCTTGTGAGATGAATACGACGTTCAACCAGTGAACAAAAATCAGATATCCAACAGTAATATTATCGACCTCGTAGGCTAAACAATGAGATATAGAAAAAACGTAGATAAACCTGATGGTTACAAGGAATATACTACTATATTCCACTAAATGAACGATCCTCACTCATTTGTCGGTAATAAAAGAATTTTAAAGTATGTTATTGCACGTTCCCCGTCTGTCGTGCTATACAGGGTATACCAAAAGTAACACCAGAAACAAATATATAGGATCATATTTTACGAGAAAATTGTTTAAATAACAGTTGTAAGGTTTTGTCCAAAGAAATAATCTATAACCTTCACTTTGACTCCAATGTCATTTTTAAAGGTCATTTCAAGGTCAACTTTTATTTAATGGAATAATAATTTTTATTTCAGAAATCAAAAGAATAGAAATTTTTACTTTCAAATATGTATTTGATCTTAGATTAAAGTATACCCTGAGGGACACTTGAAGTCATATCCCGATCTTTTCATTTCCAAAATAAAAAGTAAGGGTTTCCATTTAAAAAAAGTTTCCTTGATTTAACTTTCAAAAATGACTTTAGGGTCAAAGTTAAGGAAATCGAATATTACTTTCGGCCAAACCCTACAAATGTTTGAACAATTTTCTCAGAAAATGCAATTCGGGAAAGTTTTATCAAGCATATAGTTACTTTTAGTATACCTTATATGTTAACCATTAAAACTCGCCACTATTGGATACGCCAGATCTTTCCATAACAGTAGCCCGGAAGAAAAAGAAGAGGATCAAGAAATAACTCCTAATAAACGAGCACGATTGTTGAAAGCTATCGAAAACCAAAATTCATTATGTAAGTTGTGAAATTAGTGAGAGATGGAGAAACGAAAGATGAAGAGATGTTAAATAATGAGAAAAGTACGCTTTATATTGCATCATTGATGATGCCGTTTGTGATACATATTTCTAGCTATAGGGTTTTTAGTTTAGTGGCTATAGGGTTTAGAAAATTAGCAGAGACAATCACTCAAGGTGAGAAAGGCAGGATTAGATGATGCATGTCACAAAAATAATATTGCTTACAATAGAAAAATATGTTGATCGAATTTCAGCCAAGCATGGGTTTTCACAAATGATTCACCTCCTGATGAAAAAACTTACTCTAAGATAATAGCTTGATGCATGGTTAGCAAAATTAATTTGGACAATTTTTTCTCTCGCATAAAAAACGTTATTAGGCCTAAATCCAAGACATTTAAAAAGTTAGTCAACGAAAATGCATATGTCAAAGTAGACGTTACGAAGAAAATGGAGACAAGATTCCTATTCGAGAACCTAAATACGATATTGATGGTCTTATGTGTACAGTCATGCAGAAAATGTATTTACAAAAGATTATGAAGGTAGCTGGAGCTAAGTGAGATTTGGTGTATATTGTGTGCACGTTCACAATATATCTATTTTTTGAAAGATCTTATGAATGAAGAAATTGGTCGATTCTTTTATAAAGAACAGTTGATTTGAAATCGACCAGGTATTACAAACACAAGATATACGTACAAATACCAAATGTATCATTAGTTGGGTAAGATTTCCTACTGCCAATAAGTTCAATTCTTAGATGTACGCTCGAGACATAAAAATATACAATGAAGTATCTGAATTAAAATTTCAGCTGAATCGGATTCATAGTTCTGTTATGACCGCGTGTGGAAGCGGGCGTATTAGAAAAATGAAAAAAGAGCAGTATCGGTCGGTGATTCGATTCTTGTTTTTGGAAGGGAAATCGCGCAGCGAAATCCAAAAGCATTTGGATGCTGTGTACGGTGACTCTTCTCCTTCGATGGCGACCGTCAAAAATTAGTTTAACGAGTTTCAACTTGATCGCACGTCGATTTTTGATGAGCCACGCCCAGGTGCTCCGAAAACGGCTACTACGGAGGATAACGTGACAAAAGTTCACGATCTCGTATTGGCAGATCGACGATTGAAGGTGCGCGAGATAGCTAAGATCGTAGGCATCTCAAAAGACCGCGTGGGTCATGTCCTGCATGAAATTTTGGGCATGAGAAAGCTGTCGGCGCGATGGGTGCCGCGTTTGCTCACTCCAGACAACAAGCGCAACCGTGAGATAACTCCAGAGCAGTGTCCGACGCTGTTTAAGCGCAATCCGAAGGAGTTTCTATGTCATTTCGTGACCGTCGACGAAATATGAATCCACTGGTATACATCAGAAACCAAGGAACAATCGAAACAGTGGACTTTGCCCGGCGAAAGTGTTCCAAATAAGGCGAAAACTGTCCCATCGGCCGGAAAGGTGATGGCCACCGTTTTCTGGGATTGACAAGGTGTGATCTACATCGACTATCTGGAGACAGTCAAAACGGTCACAAGGCCGTACTATGCCGAATTATTGGGCCGATTCGACGTCGAATTGCAGAAAAAACGGCCCCAGTTAGCGAAGAAAAAAGTGTTCTTCCACCATGACAATGCACCAGCTCATCCTTCTACCGTCGCCATGGCCAAATTGGTCGAATGAGGCTAGAACTGCTGCCTCATC